AACTTAAATAATGTATGAATTTAGTTCACCTGTGGGGTTTCATTCAACAGGTCATCAACCTGATGAGCCCATCAATTCATAATTATTTTGGACATTTTATTTAATCTTGAAACCACGATTAAATAAGATTGAAACTTTGTTTCAATTGATAAACATAATTCTGCAAATGAATGTATTACACATGTAACTTGTTTTTCTCCAAAAACAAATACAACTTCTAATTACATCATTTGCCTCAATCTAGTTTCATTAGCATGTTTCTCATGCTTTGGAAATGGAAGGGGTTTACTAAGTAGAGTTCATGAGACATTCTCATAAACATGAACTTTGCAATTTCTAAATCTGATAATCATTTTCATCTACATACACTAAGAATTTTCCTTCGCCCTTTCGCAAGGAACTCTGGAATTTCTAATTTGTATTCCAACGTTATATTGGACTTTGATTGAAATCTATCATCGTTTTTTCTAAAAACACGTGAATCAAATAGACGAGTATAGTCCATGGCATGCATGATGCATCCTTTACGAATTGCATAAGGATCATCACTCAAAACCTTAATTTCATCAACCTTTCTCAAAGCATTGAATCATTAAGCAACGTGTCATGTTACATGGGATTGAAACTCCTTTCAATATAATGTTGAACCTTATAAGAATCTAATCAATATAAGCTTCTTAACCAAACTCAAACATCCTTCAAAAAATATCTCTATAGATCTTGAATCCCAAATGTACTCATCTTCTTCTTCAAGGTTTTCATACAAAATGCATTACCCACCACTTGACTATTCAAGCAATGAATAATTGCTCTTTATACTAGACTAAGAAGACTTTATATCCCCCACTAAACATCTAGTATACACAAGACCTTTTCTTCATTTTATGAGAACATCAAACGATTTGATTAACTCACAAAATTAAGAGCAACAACTCCATGATGCTTACTTCCATCCATTAATGAACCTTTTATGCATCCTTAGGATTATTGGATTCTCTGATTGTATCACATACAAATCTTCTTTCATGAACAAGTTCAAGAAAGTGTTTTGAAATCCATCTACCAAATCTCATAAGGTAGTAATCACTAAAATGTCTTTAATAGATCTTTACAACATGACTAATGTAAAGTTTTCGTCGTAGTCATAGTCATACTATGAATTAGTTGAATCCTTTAGCAAGTCTTTGCTTTAGTTAGAAAATATTTTTCTTTCTTGTCTGTTTTGCTTATAATGGGTCTCAACTAATTAGGCAAATTATTCAAGTGTCATACACTTGCTTATAGACTTAGAATCTATTTCAGATTTCCTGGTTTTTAAACAACTTGGAGTCATAACTTGTCAAATCATCTTTATTACTTGCATAATCATCATGTTCCAAAATGAATATTTTAGAACTCTTAGTCAATATGAAATCATATTTCTTTGGCTAAGTTTTACATATGCTAGTCATCGTTGTGGGTTTTTATGCAACAATTGAAACTCATACAACAACTTTGTTTAGTTTTCAATGAGAAACAACAATAGAGGATGTGCACTTGGAATGTATTACCTTCAACACATGGTTATTATTCCCATTACACTTAATGAGACCACGCGTTGTCATTTGTAACATGAGGTGAATCATGCTTATATTGTTGCTTTGATTCGATTACTTCTCAAATTTCTTCAAGATTTTCGAATTAGCTTTTCTTGAACTCTTTCAAGGCTCTCGAACTTTTCGAGATTCTTATAATCTCACTTGCCTTTTTGAGGAGGCACTTTTAGCATAGGGTGAACCAACCATGGTTTGAACCATGTTTGTTTGTTGCTTTTCTCGAACTCTTTCAAGATTTACACTACTCCCACTTGACCTTTTGGAAAAATTTCCATAAGGGCACCTACTTGAGCAACAAACATTTTTTGCTAAGTATGATTTGTGAAGTAGTACCCCGTGCTCTGTATAGGAATTGATCGTGCAGTAAACGATTTAATATAAAATTTATTCCTTGATTTGTAGAAAGACTTAATAAGAACTTTTCTTATCCATATCACATATGAAACCCTTGCTACATTTTGATTTGACCTATGTAGTTTGTTTAGTTTTGTAGCTTATTTTGAAAGTATATCCCTTGAACAATGGTTGGAAGATAGGTAATTTTCATCGATTATCAAAATATATCTTATATAGATTGATAGCTCCATTCATAAACACTTCATAAGGTTTTCTTTCGGAGTTTGTTGTAAAACGATTTCACAACTCTTGGATGTTCATCAAGGTCTTGGCTTAAATTTTCATTATTACGATCATATTGCAATATTTTGAATGTGTTGCCAAGTATATGTCTTGACTTAAATTTTTACAATTACAATCATATTGTAAATGTAATAATTATCCTGTCAAGTTGATACTAAACTTCATACTGAATATTTTGTAGCTTAGTTTGTGTGTCAATTCACTATATGTTAATTGTTGTCTCTCGCAACCTAAGCATGGTTTATATTTATAGATCATATCTAGAAATAAAACCATGTCAAGTCCAAAACCCATTAAACTCTTCTAACTATCCAAGCCCAATTATCAACATGGCATGTCATGAACTCATGAAGCCCAATAATGGGCCTCTAACTTGTTTAACCCATTACTATTATGTGTGACCTTGTAGGATCCATTCTATAAGGCTTTGGGCCATTAAGCTAGCCCAAAGATCAATTGTCATATCTAGCACCAAACATTGACGACCCCATAGAATGAGCTAATTATCTCCATAATCGTGATCCTTGATATATCTAGTAATTGCACTTATCGAAGACATAACTCCTTCATTCTATACTTGACAACTTCTAGATAAATCTGGAAGGATTTGGAGGAAAGGTATTCACTGACTTCAGGTCCTCAGCTGTATACTTTGCAGCAGAAGCTATCAAACATATCTCAAGGTCCAGAAACCTCTATTGCTGATTTTTTCACTCAGATTAAGGCAGTTTGGGATCAAATCAGTGAGATGAATCCTTTGCCTACATGTTCCTATAATGGTTGTACTTGTGCTTTGACACAGAAGTTCCTGAAGCAGCAACAAGAAGAACGTCTTGTTCTACTTTTGATGAAACTGAATAACAAATTTGCTAACACAAGATCCAATATCTTGATGATGCAGCCTCTACCTCCTACCTCACTTGAGCTTTTAGAGGTAGTAGACTGTTTCCTTGATTTCCATGAAACAGGAGAGTTCCCAAGTAGAAGAATATAGGCAGTTACAGATTTCCTTATATTGGGGCAAGCAGCCCAATCTGAATCTGAATAAGCTTGAAGAGTAAGCTTATCAGTTGCTCTGAGCAGGATGCCCTGTCCCTATGTATGAGCAACATATCTGACTACATGATTCAAAGATGTTACATGATGTACTCTAGGTTGACTTAGAAACTGACTTAGAGTTTGTATTGAGAAAGCAATATCTGGCCTTGTGTGAGACAGAAAATTCAATTTTCCAACCAAACTTCTGTATAACTCAGGGTCATGATAAAAATCACCAACATCTGCCTGTAAGTTCAGATGGGTAGGGAGAGGAGTAGAAGCAGCCTTTGAGATGTCCATTTGACAGCCTTACAAAAGTTCCCTAGTGAACTTGTTCTGAGCCATAAGTATACCAGAAGGTAAGTAAGTTACCTCAATCCCCAAGAAGAAATTCAGCAACCCCAAATCTTTAATGCTGAACTTTGAGTGTAAGTGAGTCTTAAAATGCTCAACCTCTGCAGGATCTGACCTTGTTACTATAATATCATCAACATAAACTGCTGCTAGGGTAAAAGAAGTATCTGATTTCTTTAAGAACAAGAAGTAGTCATTCTTGGACTGTGTGTATCCCATGTGCAGCAACTCTGTAGTCAGCTTAGCAAACCTCTGCCTAGAAGCCTGCTTGAGCCCATATAGGGATTTTTTAAGCTTGCACACCAAATAACTTGGATTCTGCATTCCTTTAGGAACCCTCATATACACTTCTTCATTAAGCTCTCCATGTAAGAAAGCATTGTTTATGTCCAATTGATGAATCTGCCAATGCTAACTAGCTCCCAAAGAAAGAATACATCTTATTGTAGCCATTTTGACCACAGGCGAGAGAGTCTCAAGATAGTCTATGCCATACTTCTGAGTAAAACCCTTGGCTACCAGTCTGACTTTCAACCTTTCAACTGTCCCATCTGCCTTTAACTTGACTTTGAATACCCATTTACACCCTATAGGCTTTTTTCCTTTGGGTAAAGGAACTAATTCCCAAGTATTGTTAGCTGTTAAGGCATCAACCTCCTTTTTCATTTCTTGGACCCAACCAGAGTGCTGAGATGCTTCAAAGTAGCTAACTGGTTCACTAACTTGAGAAACAGTATTGATTAATGCCTTAGTGTCTGCAGGTAAAACTTCAAATTGCATAATATTGCACCAGTGTTCTGACATTGTATCTGCTATGCAAACAAAATTGTCAAAATGAGAAGGCCATTTTTAGGTATGTAGACTGTCTCAGAGGAAAAAGATCAGGAATAGGTGGAATAGGTGGAGTTTGAGAAATAGGAAATGTGTCTGTGTTTGAAGTAGATTCTGTGTTTGGGATAGGGTTTGTGATTTGTATGGGTTCTGTGTTTGAGATGGGATCTGTTGGAAATAAGAAAGGTTCTGGAATATCATAAGATAAGTCTCTATATTTCTCTACTCTGGTGAACTCTTTCCACCAGTGACTTGTTTTTCTTTCCCTGTCTTACGCAAAAGAAGAAATGTGGTCTCAACTTGGTATAAAAATATTGAGCTTGATCTCACGTTAGTTTTCTGGAGTCAAGAAGATAAGTGAATGCCACTTGATTCTATGGGCACTAGATAGTTTGAATGGATTTATTAACTTTTGTTCTTCAATTATTCAATGCATCAAATTCACCTATTATTTATTAAAAAATTAAAAAGGGTCATATGCATAATGTGTGGCTTTTTACATACATGTTATGTGGTCTCTCTGAATTCTACTTTATTTTCAGGATGGCTTTTATCAACAAGATTGGAAATATACTCAAGCAAACATCACACAAGCTGCAAATTTTGGAGCCATCAGTTCCTAATGCACCATTTCACCAGGCTATCAGATGTTTTTCTTCTTCAAAGCTTTTCATTGGAGGTATTAAGTCTTTCATTTCATCTCCAAATTGTTTTGAACCACCGAAATCAAAGACAGACATTGGTTATATAGTTATCTTGTGCTTCCTGTCGCATTATTCAGACAAGGTGGCTTGTTCAATGTTGGTTTGTATATTTATACGACTGTCTATTTTGTTCCAGGTCTTTCATTTGCTACAGATGAGAATAGCTTAAGAGAAGCATTCCTGCCTTATGGGGATGTCGTGGAAGGTGTGTTAATTCTACACTTTTTACCATTGGTTTCTTTGCTAAAATATTGTTTGTTGGGATACTATGGGCAATGATAATAGTTTTATCTCGATTCATGGGCTACCACCTTTTTGGTCACCATGTCATTATTCAAGATGGATGCATCCTTTCTCTAGATATGAACATATATTTCTTACAAATCTGTTATTAGATATTTTAGGGTATAGGGTTTTTGAGTCAACTTTTTTGTAAATATTTTGGTTAGATCAAGCTCTGACTGTGAGCTTAGGACATAGCAAATTAAAGATGTTCAATATTTGAATTACTAAATCAAGCACTAAACAACTAGGGAAAATCAATCAATTAAAAGCGTTTGGAGTTGAGGGATAAGAACCTACCACATGATTTAGCATAGCCGGATGTACCAACTCTCCTCGGGTTTTTTTTTTTTTTTTTTTTTTGGGGGGGGGGGTGTGCGGCCTCTACATCGGAAATGTGAAGCAAAGGGTGATTAATCCTCAAAATCAAAATTATGTGTATTCACCATCAAAAGGAACCTTTATTTAACAACAATCAAGCAACATCCCTGTATCCCAACAAACAAGTCCCACACTATGCTAGCAACAAACAAGCAAGAGTTCCCCACACCAAACATGATGCAATCCCCCCACACTAAGCTAGCAACAACCCTGTATCCCAACACACGAATAAGAGTGACAACCCCCCTCCCCCCCCCCCCCAGCCACCCACCCCACACATAAGAAATGAGCACTGTACTTGACGCTACAAAAAACAAACAAGAGTAGGGAGGGACAAAGGGGAAACAAAAAAAACAAGAGGAAGCTAGTGGCCACTAGGGCCGGCATCATCATCATCATAACCACACTCCCCATCATATAGGAGAACCCGACTTTTTTAGCAATCTTGGCTTTGGAACCTTCGTCAAAACCAATGTTTGAACTTATAGGGAGCTAACCCTTGAATTCTTTACCTCTTTCGAACAAAACCCTGTTGGTGAGATCGACTTGGTGAGTGCATATTGAGAGTGTAAACTGAGTGTATTTAGCACTCATCTTGTATTGAAGTTTTATCTTTGATATACACTTTTTTGTTTTTTCAACCAGGGATGAATTTTCAACTTTTGTGTCTGTTTCTTGCAGCCAGGGTTATATTTGATCGTGAGTCTGGAAGGTCAAGAGGCTTTGGCTTTGTCTCTTATGCATCTGCTGAAGAGGCATCTTCTGCCATCCAGGCTTTGGATGGAAGGGTAATGACTGATAATTTGCTCTTCTTTTAAGGGTTATTTTATTTATAAGCAGTTGGTTGCCTCATTATTTTAGTGGCTTAAGTGCAGCTATGCCCTTTGCCACTTGCCAAAAGTAATGCAATACCATAATGCGCAATTGCGCAAACACACACATCAACAACAAAAAGAATTTATCATGCACTTTAGCACCTGTGAGAAGTAACATACTTCTTATATCATTATTGGACCAAAATTAATATATTTTTTTTTTAAAAAAAAAAGGCAAATTTTCTACATTGGTCAACCAGAACTTACAAAAATTGGGGCAGGGAGAAATCATTTGCTGGATAGCCTCTTGGTTTTGGATAATGGTTGTGTACCTGTGAAATTTGAGAATTATGAAAGACAAAGTCTCACTAGTATTCTGGTTCTTACGAGACCATCATATTTGATTTAGAATAGAATTAGTTAGTGGTGGTGTTATTTCACTTTGCTATATTACTGGGTGCAGAATTCCTAATTCTAGAGTTCACTTTTCTTCTAGGAGTTCTAATTCACTGTTCAATTTATAATTTCCAGGAGCTTCATGGCCGATTTCTAAGAGTAGCTTATGCTGCTGACCAGAGGCTTACTAGTCCTGGTCCAAGTTTTTCTGGTGCTTCTGGTTATGGTGACAGCTTTAGAGGAAATGACAGTTATGGAACTGTTACCAGTCACACTGGTGGCAAGTTCAGTGGCGGAGACAGTAACAACGCAAATGGTGGTTATGATTCCTTTAGTAACGCAGGATTTGGAAACACTGGAGAATACAGTGATGGCAATTGCAGCAGGCCTAATGCTGGCATATATGAGGGCTTTTCTGCCAATGAAAATGGAGCAACTAATTACACTGCCAGTCCTGATAGCTTCAAGACCCATTATGTCTCAAATGGAGCTGATGGTGGGCGCTATATACAAAATGCAGGTAACGACTTTGGAGGCAGTCCTGGGAGTGGTTATGGTGCTGCATTTGGTAGATGTAGTTTCGAAAATGGTAGTCATGGACCCACTGGCAACTATAGCAGTAGCAGAGATGGCAAAGGAATTGCTGATAGCTACAACACTACTAATAACGGATTTAACAGCTTTATTGGCAAGACACCTTGTACTACCATGAGACAAGGCAACGGTAATTGGCAAGGTCATAACTTGGACACCAGCAATAACTGTAATAATCAGGATGAGCCCAGAGGCAACATATATGACAATGGCTATGTCAATTCCAGGTTTGGTTGATTGGAAAATATTACCAGATGATTGAACTATCTAATTTGTTCATCATGATTTACGAGGAACATGTCTTTTTTTTCGTTCCTTGCTCATACCGTTTTTTTTCCCTCTCTTTTTGACAGGCCTATTGATGGGTTTTTATTGTAGGATTTGAGTGTCATTTTAAAGGAATTCTCACAAAGTAATATTTGGTCTTGTGGAATTCTCGAATTGTAAACGGTTGATGTTTTGGATGTGTCAATCAAATTACAACATTTGGAATTTCACTTTTGTCGATATATATCGTTAGATTTAGATTCAGAGTTGTGTGCTCGAGAATGCTTGAAATTAAATGTTTTCATTGTGTGTTTTTCTAATAATATGCCTTATTTTGTCTTTCCAAATAACAAATTATAAATATTACGGAGATTCCTCAAAAAAAAAATATACGGTGAAATTACTGTCAAATAAAAAAAACGAAGAAATAGTCACAACCCACGTTGAAACCATAACTATACCGCAGAGATTTGCGTAAAACCAAACTCAGATTAAACCCAATCCCCAAAATCTAGACCAATATCACCAACAAATGCATACCATGCAAGTCCTGCACCCAGCTATAATTGAAGAAAGAATCAGAGATACATGAACACAATTCAAACCGCCTGCAACCAAAGGCAAGATGGGCTAGCAAGCAAAGGGCGCCAAAAGGTGAAAATAGCAAATTTTTAGAGGGGGTACTCTCATCAATCCTCTTCATTGAAATCACCTCTCCAATACTTAAAATTTTATCCGTACATCTTTATCGTAATTCCATTGCATCAAAACTAGCCATAAAAACAGACAATATGCTGCAGTATCAATACTGAGCTAGCTGAACATTTCATTAAAAAATTTGACATTACAATCTGCATATTTTCCTTTCTTCCAATCCATTAATGCTGAAAGGGGAAGAAAGAGATTTCTCATGGTAATATAGCATCAACCAAAACTAATTGATACAAGCATACAACATACAGCAACAACATGCATTAAAACTAGCAAAGCAGAGTGACCTTGCCAACTCTGAAATCCACAATGATCCTGGAATCTGACTTTGATTCTTTGTTATTTGAACAAGGAGCACCGCGAGTCCATTTCTGCAAAACTGTCACCGGAGCTTGTCTTTGATTCACGTGGTCTGGATAGACGAATTCTTTGATTCAAAGTAAAAATCATTGAGTTTCGTTGCATCAGATATCATTTCACACGGCCCAGAATGGTTTCAAAGAGGCAACTTGATTGGCGCTGTTCTTACATGATTCTTTCTCACTTTCCTCAACATCATCATCATCATCATCATCCCCATATTCCATTAGCTTCACTAAAGTATCTGAAACGACCAAAAAAAAAAAAAAACATTATACTTTTATCGTTTTTCTCTATTTAAACATTCATAGCAGGAATTTTCTTCCCCCAGGTGGTAATTCATGAAAAAACAATTAAGCTCTGCAACAAAGGGTGTCCCTATCGTTCACTTTACTGACAGAGACTGGTGAATCAAACTTAGGCAAAGGTTTATGCATGCTCTTTGATGAAGGTGGTGGTGGCAGCATGCTCTTTGGTGGATTTTGTGACAGAAGCATGCTTCTTGAATCCAGGAAAGGTGTAGAACTATTCTTTGGAGGAGGAGGAGGAAGCATGCTCTTCAAAGAGGGAGGTGGAAGACTTGTATCTTTTTTACATGGGTCCTGAAGATCTGATTCCTGTAACAAATTGAAAATCAAAACAAATTTGTTTACGAGTATAAAATGGCAAAAACCCAATAAACAAAGCTAAAATTTGAGCTTAAATGATGTCATTGCTCTGTAAAAGTGTATCCATGCTTAACTTAATGAAGTCAAAATATTTTAATACTATAGTCCAGGAAGGCAGGAGGGGATAGCCTGAACTTGCAAGAAATTGAAGAAGTGTAGCAAGCAGAGGTCAACGGATATAGTCTAAATAAGAGATGGTGATGCAAGGGAGATAATAATTCAGCAAAAATAGAATAGCTTGGGATTTGTTTGTTTATCGCCCTTTGTTGCATATAGGGTCAGCAAAAAGAGAATAGGTTGTTCAGAATTTGTTGCATATTCATAAGGGTGATCAAAACCGAATTGTCAACAACCTATTCTCTTTTTAAAGAACTACACATGTAGCAACAGCAGAAATGAGGAAACGAAAAAAATTTATGGCAAACTTGAAGGCACTAGAAACTGAGCAATGAAAAAATTGGTGCAGCTAGGGCTGCTGCCAAAATGTTGTTCCAAAAGTGCAAAATAGAATGAGAGATGTGAAACTCTATGAATAGAGTCAAGAAGAATGAAAGTAGAAAAAAACACATATTAAAAGCCAACAATCAAAACGACTGATCCAATAGAACAAGGAGCAGAAGCACTTGAAGCCCTCATTAGATTTGCTCCCAACTGAAGCTGTAAATCCTGTGAAAACAGTCCATATCGGCCTATTAGCTGCATAGAAATCAGAGAAAATACCTGGAAATCTGGAATAATCAGTAGAAAAGGTTAGCCATCATGGAAAAGAAATAACTTTTCTAAATTAAAAATAATTGTGTATGTGTGTCCATGCATTTTGGATAGCTTAATTAAGGAATAATTACTACCTTTGTCACAACTTTACTGCCACATTGATAAACATGCATGTTAAGGGGAACCAAAAATGACCACTAGGAAATAATTACTATGTTTGTCACAATTTCACCACATTGATAAAAACATGCATACTTAACTGGAGTTATGCAATTATAATACAGAATAACAAAAATAAGAGAACATAAAATATTCCAAGTTGGTAAGAACAGTCAAGGTGAAACAAAGGGAGATAAAAGGATTGTCAATATAATAGGACATAGTTCAGGACACATCACAGTATGAGCTAATCATGACTACCAAGTTTTTTTATGAAGACTAACAAGTTATAGCAATGATGATACACAATCCACTCTAATAACCAAAATTTCGTTGGATTGTTAGTCAATCAAGAAAGCTATCTAGACTAAAATGATGCAAACTCAAACAATTGATGATAGTAGTAGTAGTAGTAGTATTAATAATAATAATAATAATAATAATAATAATAATAAATAATAATAATAATAATAATAATAATAAATAATAATAATAATAATAAAAAAAAAATAATAATAATAATAATAATAATAATAATAATAATAATAATAATAATAATAATAATAATAATAATAATAATAATAATAATAATAATAATAATAATAATAATAATAATAATAATTAATAATAATAATAATAATAATAATAAATAATAATAATAATAATAATAATAATAATAATAATAATAAAAAATAATAATAATAAAAATAATAATAATAATAATAATAATAATAATAATAAAAATAAAAATAATGCCTACTCTGGTATGCTTGTTAATGATATGTTAAAGATTTATGGTCAACATTATAAAACTGCAGCCATAAATATAGTTTTTTCGAGGATAATTCATTAGATTCCTATTAAAGCTAGACAATGAAAACTGATAGACCTTGACATCAAAGTGTAGTTATGAGCCTATGATACTTAAACTCTTCATTTCAGCTTGAGTATTTAAGTTGCATAAATGACACTCCAGACACATATAAACACTTTGACATTCAATTTTGTTCATAAAATATAAATTCCACTCAAGTATATGTGCATATGGACACTGCACATGTATACTATTCCAGATGATATGACCATAACAAAACACCAATATTCATGAGTGTTCCTATATCATCCTATAAAGAACTTTCCATGTCAGACTCTTGGATACATACTTAAGCTTTGACACCTAAATAAAAGTCTTTGCAACATAGAAGTGCTTCACTATTACTAGTATCATTTCACTATTACTTGTATCACGTATGAAGCCTGGCTCTGGATTGCATAGTGCTTGGGAAAATAGATACACAAAGTATATAGATAGTTCTCGGGATAAACCTTATATCACTGACAACCACCCAATTTCTCCCTCTTAAAAGGTGAAATGAGAAAACATAATTGTCACGAGATATTAAATCACTAGTGAAGGTATTGTATGATCTTCCATGATCAAGGCAACGTAAAGAATTCTTATTAAAGTTAGACCAGAACAGAATTCTGGTCAGAGGAGATCTCTTTTATGTTTACTTACTACAAAATATCTTTAAGTTCGTATTATTAAACAAGTAATGAAATTTTAGATGTGTAGAAAGTCCCCATTGACACAAGATTAACAAGATACCTCATGATAATGTCTTTCCTTACAAATTAGCGTTAAAGTGTAGTCAAAGTTCAGTAAGAAAAAAAAAATCAGACTAAAGCAGACTAGAAAGATTCATACCAGGCCAGGCAAAATTTGACAGATTCATATCAGACTTTTATAAATTCAAATCAGGTGAAGAGAGCATAAACACATGTGTCTAGTCCAGCTTCTTTGTGGGAATAAGTTGTAACTTTAGATATTCTTTCAGCCACCTCTATAGAGATTCTGTGCGAATCTTGCTCAATATTAACATCTGAATGCAACATTTTTCTCCGATTTATACCATTTGTGGACTTCAGCCCCATTGATCTCCTCTTCAGAAGAGTATCAATACCAAAAATTTAGGGCCAAGGACAAGCGTCAATTTCACACTTCAATGTCCTCTAGATTCAATTCATTCAAATCTATTGAATTCAACCATAACAAACAAGGCAGACAAAACATACCTTGGGGCTCTATATTCAGTGGGTGGGTCATATTTTCCAATATTTACTATTTTACAAAACAAAGCAGGTAAGATATAGAGAACACAGCTTTCTTCTCTATGTGAAAAACATGTTAAATTTAAAATGTTGATATTCTTCTTATCCTTACCCTCAACTGGAGTCCAGTCACTTTAACCCACTATAACTCAGGATAATGTTTTGTTTCTCAGCCCATACAAGAAAATTCATTGACATACTGTTCTCAATCAATTAATTATAGTGAAAATTCTTTGCATACAAACAAATTTAATAGAAAATATCTCACTCCAGCTGAACGAACCAAAAATTAGGGTACCTGTTGCCCTGTTGGGAGACAGCAACTCTATTTACAGCTGCAGGCAACTCTTTGAATTTCCGCTTACGCTTTTCTGACTCTGATAAGCTCTTTGACATCACCCTTGAGGTTGATGTAGCAGGATCAACTGTAGAGGAGACTGGTCCTGACTGTCTAATAGCTAATCCCACTTGCTGCAAAGGTGTGGCCTGCGGATATATTCCAGCATATGCACTGTAGCTAGTACAGGCCGTCAGTGGCTGGGAATAGGGAAGCCCATTTGTTTGGGCATGGCCAGGAGGAAGCAAGGCTCCATGTTGCACTACCTGCCCATAAGAAAAGGAAGTTGGAACCACTGCTCCAACCGAAGGAACAGCTACTCCTGGCATTGAAGTTGCAACAGAACTCAAGTTTGGTTGCATTTCAGTCCCTGAACTCTGAACGCCGACCAACAATTGTTGTGGGGGTGGAACAGCACCATAAACTTTGCATGATGAGACCCTGTACCACAAAACTGTACTTAAAACAATGTACACCACCAATTTTAATACCTAGAAAATAAATTAAACATATTGGAGTCCAACAACAAACAGGGAAGGCTGATGATAAGTTGACACGGATTGGTCCAATACAAACAATTAAAATCAATTAGCCACAATAAACACTATATGCAACACAAAAGAGGAAAAAAACTGCACCCGTCCTGCTATATCATGTCTCAGAAAATGCCGTTTAAATTTAATGATTATACAACGAAATTACTTTTCCAGTATTTACATAGAGAATAGTCTAACACAAAACCATATCAAAAAAAAATTCATATGTAAGAACTACCTATTTGCACCACACTCTCGACTGATTGTATCCAAAAGATTTTCCGCTAAAAGTTTTGCATCTTCAAGGCTCTTTTGATTGTTACTGGACAACAGTAAATGTAAAGGTTGCTGTCCCTCTAGAAGCATGAAAAACAAACGAAGTGAGACTCGCTCAAAATAAATAAATAAATGATACTGTCAAAAAAGGCAAAGAGATGCCTCTGAACAAAGTTGGAAAAATAAATAGATAAAAATAATGAGGTGGGTCCAAAAGGTTAAAAAAGAGGGGAATGGATACCTTCACCCTGAATGTTCCCAAGATACCCTGAACCACGCCCACGTAGTACAACTGTTGCTCCTGTTTCATTTATAATGTGATTTATATATTGATCCTGCAAGTACAAAAACCAACCACCACCAACAAAAAAAAAAATCTCTCCCAATGTATGGAGACATCAGGGAAAGCTCAGACATTAGAAACTCTCGCATAAATCATGCATAACAAGAAAATTAGAATATAATGTATTCATCAGAAGGTTGAGAAAAAAGAAACTAAATTGTTAACCAGAACTCTCAGATATCATCCAAAAGGAATCAAAAAGTTTTAGAATGATGGTTTGAGACAATTTCAAAAAACATGAAACCACTAGTAGTGATATCACTATTAACATTTTCAACAATGAGGCATGAAGTTGCAATGAATGAATAAATAAACTGATCTATAGATGAATTTATAATATTTTGGTTCAAGATGACCTATTAAATACGCACTTTTGGAAACAAATATTAAAATGTCAACAAAAAAAATATTTTTAAAAAAAAAACAACCAAAATTAAAGTTTAGGTAACACTTCCCATTAACAATTTTTCGCCAAATTTATCAAGGGACCCACTAAATCATTTCCCTCCAAGGGCTCTAACTACCTATGAATTACTAAATCAAACCGCTCGTATTTAAAACGTCTTCCTTCTTCCCTTAGATACAAACACAAACACAAAACTAATTCAAGCTACCAAAAATTTTAAAGATTGATTGATTTCTTTACCAATAGGCATGATTCTTCAATAATGTATCCATAATCATGAATATAGATATTAGGGTTTATTTCGTTTATATACAGTTGTGGCTCACCCAATTTTAAAAATTAGGGTTTTCAAGTAGGGGATTAGAGTTCTTCAATAGACTTAGAGGTTTTCATTTAGGGGATTTAGAGTTACCATTGAAGGGTTTTTCTTCGCTTAACAATAAAATAGTTTTGAAGAAAAAGTTGTTCAAGGGATTCGATTTCACTTTCTTAATAAAAAATGAAAAAAAATTAAAAAAAAAAGTTGAAAATAAGGGAATTCAATAAGAAAAAAATGACATTGAAGGAGACAAAAATAAGATGGGTAGAATTGACTTTTCACATGCCAGAAATCGAAAGAAAGAAAAAAATAGCAGGGCCCTAGTTGGAACCACTTGTAAATAGTGCAACCCAAACTTTTTGAGATTTTTGGGCAGCTTATCATTACATAAAAAATTAATAATGATAATTAAAAGGTAGTTTATTACAAGAGTGTATAATTTAATTGGTAGTTTCTACCAAAAAGATCCAACTTTATTTGCACTATTTGAATATCAAATTTAGGATGGAGAAGCCAAGATAGTTTTAGTTCTTTCAATATTAATGTACATTAGTAAGAAGGCAGATGTAAGATGCGAAATTGACTCACATTTGGACCACGTATCCTTGCAACCATGTTTAGTGATGGATCTGCATCAAAGCCCAAATAGATACATGTGCTAAATGGCTGAGATACCTGATTACGATAAACAAAAACTTAGCTTTGGATAAATTCAACAAAAAAATTTGAAATTCTGGAACAGTTTATGCCTGCACAAGATCTAGAACTGGCAAGCAAGTTTCGAACCTGTTTCAGCATATCCTCAACCATGGCAGCCGCACGATCTACTGCAAGGATTCGTTCTGATGTCTCTTTCAACTGCAATAAAGTCCACACTTAATACTCGGATAACATAATTCTGTCATAACAGAGGCATTTTTACAGATCCTTCCTTTAATTTCCACCCCTTCCCCCTATCCTCCTCCTCTGAAGCATTTAAAAAGTACTATATATAGAAGTGTGCCAGACGGATGTTATCTTTATAATGCATCAACTGATAAATCTCTAAAAAAACACATCAACTTGTTTTTCTTAATCAAATTACAAAAAAGAATATTGTAGATTTTCCATGATTAGCAAATCACTAAGGATAACTTGTATCAGAATCATAAGAATCTGTGAACAAGATGCTTTCCTTAGTTGGTAATCAAATCTCAAAGGTATTCTAGTGCATTATTTACAGGTCCTAAACTGGCAAGATCAATTAACTTCTATTCTCCTTGTTCCAGAAATAGATGAATCGAAGTTAAGTTTTCAATTATTGAAATTTGAAATATTTGCATCCACTGTGTGAGGCAGGATAGTAAATTTAGCAACCATAGTACTTGAATCAAAATCCTTTCTTTTATCCGGCCCAACAATGAAACAGAAAAAAAAAGGACATAAAATAGGTTATATATGTCTGTAACATAGGGCAGCTAAGCTTGACCAAGGGGGTAGACTCAGCTCAGCTCAACACATGATTGGCCATGCTCGACTTGATCTCAAACTAGTCGAGCTGAAAATTCTAAGGTACGCTGACTATTCATCAATAATTCATTACATATTTGCATGATACTAGATTGATTTAAAGGACTGCTTTGATCGGGGAAAATCAAGAAAAGGTAAAGGTAGTTCATCCAAGGGGGCATAAGACATAGGGTAATCAGAAAAGGGAAAGGGAATTAACAAGGCATATTCCCGTCGTTGTTGTTTGTAATGCCACTTTAGTCACTCTCTTTACCCTCTCCATACCCCCAAAGTCCTCTAATTTGATTCCCCACTCCCCATGGTATTTCCATTCCCTTTCTTAAACCACCACACCACCACCGCACGCCATACCATGCCACTTTCATCCACGCCGTCCAGCCTAGGGATGGCAGTGGGGCGGGTCAAATGGGAGACCCGCCCCAATGGGGCGGGTATGGAGGGAGGTTTGGCGGGTGACGGGGCGGGGATGGGTCCAAAACTTAAACCCGCCACGGGTGGTGGGGCGGGTATGGAGGTTGTAGCAGACCCGCTCCAAACCCGCCCCGCCCCGCCTAATACCCACCCCCAGAAGAATCTAGAGTATACTTATGAAAGGCCCAACACCCAAATGCCCAAATACCCAAGTCATAAACCTAAATTTTCATTTCCTCTACGGCCGCCATCTTCAGTTCTTCACTCTCTTTCAGTCTTTCATTTCCTCAAGACCTCACAAGTCAACACTCCCTGCCTCACTCATTCATCTTCTTCCTCGCGAGTCGCGACCTTCCCTCAATCACCATTGTTGTCCAGTTCATCTTGACATCTTCTTTCCCAAGGTATTTATCTTGATTCTTTATTATTTTCGTATTTAATTATTTTGATTTTCTGATTGATTTTGAATTCTTATTTATTAATGGAACAAATTCATCTAGATCTATTAAAGAATCAACTCTTTGTAATTTTAATTGTCGATTTTATATTGATGTTGCATTTTTTTTATTTAAGAGGTTAAGATCTGATGATTAGTATGATTATATTAGACAAATTATTATACCCACTAAATCACTATTTAAATTTTATTTCGTATGTATTAGTACTCAATTATAGGAATGTATGAATTTGAGAAATGCTGAAATAAATTTACCAATTAGAATGAGGAACCTAATTAAGAATTAAAAAACAAGTTTTGTACAAAGTTAGTAAACACAGTAGATTTTTAGCTTGTGAAAAATCAGTAGGTTAGTTCAAATAAATTGTTATAATTAATGTATTCATGTGATTATTTGGTGGAATAAATAATAATGAAAGCATGAATAATGTCACTAAGTCAGACATTGTTTTGTAGTGCTTATGGTGGTGGTTACAGTAGACATTCGCATATAATTAGTCTAAGTTAAGGATTATTTATTTTACTCATATATATATATTCCATTGTTTCAAGGAGTAATGACATCAAACGGTGGAAATGGTGTCCCCAATATCTCTAAGCCATCAACATCTGCAAGCTGTACTCCGATTGAAGTAGATGATGATGATGATGTCGAAGAAAGTCCAAATGTTAATCCTTCTAGTGATCCTTCTGTTCTTCCTCTAACCAGCAGACACACATCTTCTGTTTGGTCTAATTTCAAGAGGAAGCGAGTAGGGGATGCAATAAAGGCAGAGTGCAACTATTGCTTAAAATTGCTTGCTGGTGGGGCAAAATCAGATACAAGTCATTTGAAAGATCATACAAAGATTTGTCCTAAAAGAAAGTGTGTTGATATTCGACAAACTAAGTTGTTTGGCTCAAAGGCTAATCCTAATGATAAAGAAGACACAATGACATTAACACCATATGAATTCCGCAAAGAGGATGGAAGAAGAGATTTAGCAGAGATGATAATTCTTCATGAATACCCTCTTAGCATGGTGGAGCACTTTGGTTTTAGAAAGTATTCCTCCACACTTCAACCCGGATTCAAAGCACCATCTCGCAACACAACTAAGGACATATTGAAAAGATATGAGATAGAGAAGGAAAATGTCATTGTAATGGTGAGGAAAGCAAAGAGTAGGATTGCTTTGACTACGGATATGTGGACATCTAGCAACCAAAAAAAAGGTTATATGGCTGTAACAGCTCATTTTATCGACAATTTTTGGAAATTACAAAGTCGTATCATAAGGTATTTACTCTTTTAAAACCCTCCTATTATTGTGTATGCTAGTTTTTTTTAATTACATTATCATTTATGTGGCTGTAAAATACATATTTATTATTCTGGTTTTGTACTTTTTGAGTTGCATTATGCTACATTATAATAATTGTGATCTAGTTATTATGATTTTCCTTGATTTAGTGTCTTATAATGTGACACATTTGGTAGGTTTTGTCATGTCCCAGCCCCTCATACAGCAGAAGTATTAGCAGATGCATTAAAAGAATGCATTCACTCTTGGAACCTTGATCTTAAATTGTCTGCCATAACTGTTGATAATTGCACCACTAACGATGCAATGATGGATATCTTGCTTGGAGACTTTCCTTATGGTTCACTTATTCTGCATGGTCATTTTTTCCACATGCGTTGTTGTGCTCATATATTAAATTTGATCGTTCAAGAAGGTTTAAGTGTTGTGGTTTCTGATGGTATTCTAAGAATTAGAGATAGTGTTTCATTTTGGACAGCTTCTCCTAAAAGGGTCCAAAAATTTGAACAAGTGGCTAGACAATTAGTTCCGGACTGTAAAAGAAAGTTAGTACTTGACTGTAAGACTAGGTGGAACTCGACTTATGAAATGCTTATCATTGCTATCAAGTATAGAGAGGTGTTTGTTGTTTTAGGTGCTAGAGATCATTTGTATAAAAATCCACCACTTTCGGAGGATTGGATCAAGGTGGAAAAAATATGTGAAAAATTGGAAGTGTTTAGTAATCTTACTCATGACTTTTCTGCATCAAAGTATCCAACTGCAAACATTTATTTTCCAAAGGTGTGTGCTCTTAAACTTGCTTTAAGTAGTTGGCTTTCATCTCCTTATGACTATGTGAGAGTTATGGCACAAGTAATGCTTGAAAAATATGACAAGTATTGGATTGGTGTCAATGCTCTAATGGGAGTGGCAACAATACTTGACTCGAGATATAAGATGGCTCTTATTCGTTTTTATTTTGGGAAAATATATGATGCTTTGAATGTTGATAAGGAGGTTGAAAAAATTAGCAATCTGTTAAATAAATTGGTTGTTGAATATTGGTCTAAAAATGGGAGAACTCAAGCTTCTAGTAGTCACCCGAAGTCATCAGGTCATATGAGTGGAAAGGTTCAAGGAGATGCTTACATGCAAGAATTTGCTGAGTTTATGCAGCAAGATAAAAGTAAAAGCAATGAAAAATCAGAATTAGAGAAGTATTTAAGTGATGAAAATGTCCCTCTTGATGATGATTTTGATATTTTAAATTGGTGGAAGACAAATGGGAGCACATATCCTATCCTTCAACAAATAGCAAAGGATATCATGTCCATTCCCGTTTCCACAGCCCCATCCGAATCTGCTTTTAGTACTAGTGGAAGAGTTCTTGATCCATATCGTAGTCGACTTTTACCGGAAACAGTAGAAGCTTTGATGTGCACTCAAAATTGGATTTGGTCCAATTATAAAGGTAATTATTTATCGTATTAAATTTTCTAATTGTATAATATATGAAAATTACTAATATGAGCTATACATATTTATTTTGTAGGTGAGTTGAAGGAAGTGCAGCATCAATGGTTGGAGGAAATAGAAGATGGAAGTGATACCGAAGTAACCGGAGTGATCGATTAATTTTCATGCGTTTAGAATTTTATAACTTTGTATAATTTAATGGACTTGGATTTGTGAATTTTTCTAAGTACGAAACTGTATAATTAATGAGTTTGTAATTTTCTGGTGGACTTTGTAATGTTATTATTGTTGTCAGTGTGATTTTATTTCCATTTTACAACAGGTTTGGGGCGGATTTGGGGCGGGTTTGGGGTGGGTATGGATATCCAAGCAGGTGGCGGGGCGGGGATGGATCCTACAATGTACCCGGCGGGGCGGGTATGGATTGTGGGTATTGGACCCGCCACGGGTGGTGGGGCGGGGATGGGTACAAAATTTTTAGGCGGGTACGGGTGTGGAGGTGCCATCCTCCGCATCCGACCCGCCCCGTTGCCATCCCTAGTCCAGCCATTGTCATCCTCACCGGCACCACCCCGCAACCACCACCTTTACCCACTCGATAATCATCCTGAAACCAATCCACCCACCCAAAACCACCCCACCTTCCAAAACCCATACTCCACCGTCCCAAAACCATACACCACCACCCAAAAGCCACCCTTCCCCAAAAGCAACCCCTGCCCAAAAAAAAATAATTATCCCACCTTGAAAGCCCACTGATACCCACTCATAACCACCAACACCCATCAAAAACCCACAACCTAGAAAATCGAAAAGAGATACCAAGACTATTAATGAAAAACATATCTACTGATATCATCCATTATGGTTTTATATGGTCAAATTCGACCTTCAAAACCTTAGAATCTAGTGTTTTCATGGTCAAATTTGACCTTCAAAACCTAAAAGATAACAATGGCGTGATAAAATAATTAGAGAAGGAGAGCGGCAATTGCAAGGAGTGTGGCGACAACAGTGGTAAGGAGGGGAAGTGGTGTGGGTGGAGGGTGGTGATGACTCCATGAGAGTGAGTATGGAAAATGGCGTAGCAAGGATGAGAGAAAGAAGATATGAGATACCAAACAACATCCTATATCAAGGTAAGTTACATTCTATTCTTCTTTCTCTTTCTTTAACTCATTCCCTTTCCCCTAAATGAATAAAACGACCATAAATCCCTTTCAAGCTGTTTTGTTAGCTAATTTTGAAAATCCCTTACCCCAATTTCCTATTTTAATTCTCGTCCGCATCAAGGCCTAAGAGTAATCCCATTATCCTCTACCCTTCATGCACTCCACCACCACCCAACCACCGGTCCACAAAACCTATAACCTAAACATGCTTCGGAACCCAACCCACATCCAACCGAGATTCCTTAACTTAACCACCACCATACTTCAAATCCCGACCTCCACGACCTACACCAATACCCATTGGGATCTCCAACCAAAAACAAAGGGTCAACCCACCATCAATAGTTACCAACCAACATCTCCATTTGAACTTTGATGAATTTATCCAACAGCCAAAGTTGAAGGTCTAGGATTAAATCCACACATAACATGCAAGGATGACTAAAAAGAAGAAAATTATTGTATTCCCTTTTTCTAAGAGCATAATAGTAGAGCATGTATATGTATTGCTTTAATATAATTACTTAATAAAGATTGGACTTTTACTACTTCCCTAAAATTGCTACATCAAATAAAATTAAAATTTTCATGAATAATATTGTTACTTATTAACATTTATAATTTTGTTGAGGCTAATCACAAGCTTTTAGAGCTCAAGCTTGCTCAACTTCGCTCGTTTGCTGACCCATGCTTGAGCCAAGCAATGGAATCGTTTATGAGTCAGCCTAACTCAATATCACCCTACTTTCTACACACTACCAGTTTACATATATGGATTTTTTTTTTTTTTTTTTGAAAGAACATATATGGATTAATGAGCATGAAATGACATTTTCTATTTTATCTAGCCATTTCATTCCATCAAAAAAAAAAAAGTAAACAATACAAGCCAATACAGTTAAGGGGAAAAAGAGGGAGATAATCAGGGGCACTTAACATACATGAGCTCCAGCAGATACGTGAAGGTAAAGTGGTTTATCACCATCTGGTACTGCATTGGGTGGTTGATACTTGCCCCTGGAGAATAAGTCATCATCACAAACAAGATATGGAAAGGAGAAGATATAACACGAACAATAATCAGTAAGGCTTTCAAGAGCCTCCAAGAACAGACTAACCTAGTTATTACGACTGCACCAGTACACTTTTGAATCTGCACTTGTAAACCAAACCATGCATGAGTCTCCTTGTAAAGTTATAATACTTATATCAAACGATGTTTACACTGCAGCCAGCATATAATGCTTCCAAGTTGGTACCCCTTACTTTAGGATGTGGGTATTTTGAAACAAAAAAATAACAATATTTCCATCTGAAATGCGGAAAAAAAAATAACAATATTAGTAATATTAATAGCATTGGTCTAGGGGAATTCACCTCTTCCTGTGTCAGACGTTTTGTCAGCTTGTAACGCATAGCTGGATCTGCATCATTTATAACAATTTCTCTTGCAATTATGAGATCATCCTGAATCTTCGGCTATAATGCCAGAATGATACTTATAGATAAGTAAATGAAATAAATCAAGAAAATCCTGAACTAGTGTAAAACATTGGAAAATTGGTCAATTGGACAACCACTTAACAAAGGTATTATATTGCCCTCCAAAAAAAAAGAGAAGCAGTTTCATCAAATACACATGATGCACAAATACATTGCTCACCCAAAAACCATGGATGCAGACACTCACATCAGATAACCCATCTTCTTTTCATTAAGACAGCCAAAAGAAATCATCACCATTCACAGCCACACAAGGTAGATAAATCACAAAATTATTGATATGCATACAGACTTTCACTTCAATAAAAAAAATACCAGTAAGTATAAAAGATTACAAGAGTTACATCAAGTACCACTATACCTAAAAATATAGAGGATAACATAAATCTATAGTTCTAAGGCAAGACAGCCACACAGCTCACCTCAATCAGTTTTTGGACCACAGCAGCAGCTTGTTGTTGAACAGAAGCCTGGATATTAACATAAGAAGCTTTCGTGGAACTGGTTGAAGCAGCACACGAAGCTGAAGCCGCTCCTGGAAGAGATATACCAGAGCATCCTACAGTGTTCATGGGTAGCATTCCAGGTAAAACTCCACAAGAGACAAAAGATTCGTCAGGCTGATCCCACCTCCTCTTCTTTCTGCAACAATAGTAGAACATTGTTGCAAAAAATAAAAGAAAAAAGAAAAATTACAGTATAATGCTATACATAAAGTCTTAGAGGGATAAAGGTGTTGCAGCAAGAGCAAACTTTTTACAATGATAAAACTTCATACACTAATCATTAGGGGTAAAAAGTGACAGCAGTAGCAGTCACAGTGTCGCAGAAACAGCACCTCACGAGTGTTAAATCAGTATTTGCAGCCATCAAAGTGTTAACTGAACTGCAAGTGTTGTGATTCTATACTAACACCTTTTCTTGTTATTTTAAGATGGGGGATAAAAATTGAAAGAGTATCTACCTTACAATAACAGATTATAACAACTAATGCAGTGACATCAATGAAGAGAGAAATTTGGATAATGGACCAAGAGTCAACTAACATCAATCCCATTCTGCCTCTAAAATTATGAAGCACAACCATCCTCCTAACTACCTTCTCAACCATTGAATAGACCAAGGAGATAGGAGAGCTTAACCTCATTTGCAAAACTTTCTTAACACCAAAAAAGATAAACCTTTACTGATAATGTAGTGCCAAAATGGCAAAACCTCCCTGTTTGACAGTATCTTCTATAAGAACTTAGCAAATCAACATTAGCTGCATCCATGCATAATGAAGATGTATTCACTATCCAAAAAATCAGACTCGTTCTCAGGAAGATGATCTCACTTAAAACAAAATAAACCACTCGACAACCTCTCACAAGTCATATACTCATATTGATCATACCCTAAGCCAATTTCGATACTCCCTCCTATTATGAATCTTGACAATATCATTCTGGATAGTGAATATCCTTATGCCACGGAATGAAGCTATAGAATTACACTCGGTTTTTGGCAACTACCTACTTTGATTGACTACAATGGGTAAACACTACGAAGTATTCGATTCAATCAATTTACTTGTGCTCTATAAAGCCAAGGTCAGAACTATAGTCGGACGTTATATACTGGTACCCAACAACATACAATGGTTTTAGTAACAAAACTTACATTGCACTTTAGGGTCTATAACCCATAAAAGTAATAGCTTCCAATAACCAACAATCATCCACAAAAATTATAATTTACAGTTCATAAAAATTTTACAGATTACACACCTTAATTCATAAAAATTGCTAAAAAATCATCAAAAAGAAAAATAAACTCATGGTCAAACACCCAATTGCAAGTTAATTACTTCGCATTCAACCACAATCCTCATCCAAAAAAATAGAAATCGAAAAATAACAACATAGATCCATTTATGCAACAATAACAAGAAGAAAAAAGTGAGAATTAAAGAAGTTAGATAACACAATAATTTGAGTTAGAATTCTCAAAATTGGAATTGGAAAACAAATTAGGAGAATAATATGAATTGGTGAAAATTGGAAATTAGAGAATTAAGTGAAAAGTATAAACCTTTGCTTGGAGATTGAACGTTGATTTTCTGCAACGCAATTCTGTGTCATAGTTTTTGGCTCGTTGATTTTGGTCGCCGGTGAAGAACAAACGGTGGACTGGAGGAGAGGTGTTGAAGGGATGTTCGTCATTTTCTGTCTTCCAATCTTCTATTTTTTAAAGAAAAAATGGAAAGGCGAGAAAAAATTCTCTCTACAGAGGAAGAAGACCAAATGAGACGCTCGAATGAAAAATTCAAAAGAACACCGGGAAATTCACCGGAGACTCAGCCAGACCCTAGTCATGGAGGTCAGGACACTAAGATGGGCACGTGTGTTGAGGAAACGAGGGAGGAATCCTCCCAATTTCGTCAGAAAGTTGCACATAGCAACATGGCCAAAAGGAACGGGGGAGAAAGAGCGCTTTTCTCATCCTCTGACAGTCATGGTGGAGACGATGAATCGGATGACGCCTTGCCGCTTGATTGTGATTCAGATGATGAATCGTGCCCTAATATTTTGCTCACGAAAGAGGAGAAACAGAGACTACGAAAGCCGTGGCAAAATGCCTTGATTATCAAATTATTTGAGAAAAAGTTGAGCTACGAAGTGCTTATGAAGAGATTGACAATAAAATGGAGTCTAAAGGGAGAATTATCTCTTACGGATTTAGGGTTAGCTTATTATATTGCAAGATTTACCAATATGGAAGACTATCATTTTGTCTTGACTCAAGGTCCTTGGCTAATTGGGGATAGTTATTTAACAATCCGCAAATGGGTGCCTAACTTCGTGGCCGATGAAGCACCTATCAAATTCCTCACAGCATGGGTTAGGATCCCTCAATTGTCGATTGAGTACTTTGATAAGCAATTTTGGCATAAGATAGGCTCAAAAATTGGGAAAGTCATTAGTATTGATAGGAATACGGAGGCTATGAGTCGAGGTCAATATATTCGATTCAGCATCGAAGTTGATCTGTCAAAACCATTGTTGTCCAAATTTCGGCTTAATGGAAGAGTGTGGCGAATTTAGTACGAAGGACTAAAGCAAATCTGCTTTAGATGTGGTAAATTAGGTCATAAGGAACCTGAGTGTGATATGGAAATTGTTCTTGGAGAGGATGGGGAGAAATCTCTACGGAAAAAAGAGTTGCAAGTTCAGCAACCAGTGAACAAAGCTAGGCCAGAAGATCATGATCAGTTTGGTTCATGGATGCTGGTCCAGAGGAATACAAGGAAGTATAATCCTAAAAATAAGTCCAATGCTCAGATGCACCAAGGTGAAAAGTCGAAAGGTCCGAACGAGGGTAAGGGAAACAGCAGCATCCCTATGACGGACGTAGAAGTCCCAAAACCGAAGCAGAAGGCTCAACAACTTTGGAAACAAGTAGAAAATGCGAAGCATGGTAAGAATTCGGTTTCAAGATTCATTGTATTGGAACAGGATCAGGATATGGAAATGACTGATTTAGTCAATGGTCAAGATAATCGAACCAAAGAAGTGGAGGTTGTTTCCTCAGATAACTCTCAAATAGAAAAGGAAGCAGTGAATTTAGGAGATGACAATGATTCTGTTAAGGAGGATAATAACTCATCTAAGGTAACTCAGAATGGGATGGATATTGATATGGAAGGTCAAGCAACTGTTGACTTGGGTATTTCTTTGAGAAATCTGGAAGGGAATAAAAAAGATTTATTTTGGGAGCAAAATAACGGAAAAGATAAAAAGAAATCTGATAAATCTTTTAATGTGGAGAAAGAGGGGATGCGTAGCAACCCTGAACTTGATAAGGAAAATATTGATCCTTTTCTTAAAAGAGATTTATATGGAAAAGATTTTATTTCACCCAAGGGAGGAGTGATCATACAATCGATACCAATTGCAACTAGTACCCCTTCTGCCTTGCGAGAAAAGAACCATTCAGAAAAGCTTTCCTTTGATAATGAATCGGCTTCTAAACATGGGGATCCCCCGGATCCCAATCTCTTTAGAAATGCGAGTTCCCCCGTCATACACAGCATTCGTGGATTATCCAATGGAGGGACCAACTCTGATTTCAGTCCACCCGGTGGCAAACAAAGTGAATCTGGAAGTGAATTCATTCCTACCTCCCCAACACAACCCACCGGAGATGTTGGCCATGGTAGAAATTCCCATGAGAACGAGAGGGCCAATGTATGCATTGAGGGATGCGTACATGGACCTTCTGCCTAATATTCCTCTGAATATGTATGACCGTTTCCCTATATTCCAAGGTTTTAATATGTCAATAAAAATTATGGTGTGGAATGTGCAAGGAGCGGGAAATAAATTAGCTTCAATTAGGGAGTTAATTAGAATAAATGATCCTACAGTCCTGGCTTTGGTAGAAACTCATCTCAGTGGAGACCAAGCTCAAAAAGTGTGTGACAAAATTGGTTTTTCAGGCCAAACTATAGTGGATGCTCAGGGTTTTAGTGGGGGGATATGGTTGTTCTGGAGAGAGGAAGTAGTGTCAATTACTGTGTTAGACAATCATACCCAACATATTACTGTTGAAATTGAAAAAAGAGGGGAGGAGCCTTGGATGTTTTCTGCGATTTATGCTAGCCCAGATTCCACCTTAAGGAAAGAACTTTGGAATGATTTGGAGAGAATAGGAAGTTCTGCCAATGGACCATGGCTTTTAGCTGGTGATTTTAATGACACTGTGGCTCTCTCTTAGAGAGGCATGGTATGGGAGGCTCAGAAATGCAAAGAAGGTGCAAAAATTTCTCTGATTGGATTGATGATAATGGGCTAATTGATCTAGGATGTTCGGGCCCAGCACATACATGGTTTAGGGGTCTTAACCCGAGTACCTTTAAGTCTGCTCGCCTTGATAGAGGACTAGTAAATGAAGATTGGCGCTTAAGATTTGCTGAAGGAGCAGTGAGAAACCTCCCAAGATTGACCTCGGATCATTGCCCTATCTTGGTAAGCACAAATGGTTTCGCCCCAATTCCGACTTCTTTGAAGCCTTTTAGATTTCAGGCTGCTTGGCTATGCCATGAGAAATTTGAAAATTTTATCGAAGGTAATTGGGATAAAGACAAGCAACTGGTACCTTTTCTAAAGGAATTTGCAATAAAATTGAGTGAATGGAATAAGTCAGTGTTTCACAATATTTTTAGAAAGAAGGCAGAATTGTGGGCTCGATTAGAGGGAATTCAAAAATCTCTTGCTAGTGGAGGGCCTCTACATCTCATGAAACTAGAGGGAAAATTGAGGAAGGAGACGAATTATGTTCTCGAACAGGAAGAATGGTTGTGGTTCCAAAAGTCTCGTGCAGCTGGAATTTGTGATGGAGACAAGAATACTAGATATTTTCATCTGTCCACTATCATCAGAAGAAAAAGAAATCGCATAGAAACTCTTATGGATGAAAGGGGGGAATGGATTACCGAACTTGATCAGGTAAAAGAATTAGTTCTCAACTACTGGAAAAATCTGTTCACAGAGGAATCATGTCAAGGAAACCAAACTGAGCTTTTGCGTGACTATTTTCCTCCTATTGGGGAATCGAATTGGGAGACTATCAACCGTCCTTTTGCGGATTGTGAAGTTGTAGCTTCCCTTCAAGATATGGAACCTTATAAGGCCCCGGGACCAGACTGTTTTCAGCCGCTATTTTTCCAAAAATTTTGGAAAATTGTGAAACCAAATGTAATTAATTTGGTGTTAGATGTGCTGAGTGGTAAGTATTTCCCAGAAGGCTTCAACGATGCGTTCTTAGTTCTCATCCCGAAGATGGAAGTTCCAGAAAAGGCTAATCACTTTCGCCCAATTGGTTTGTGTAATATTACCTACAAAATTGTGACAAAAGTGATTGTTAATAGGCTCAAACCAATTTTGCCCACTCTTATTTCCCCGACGCAATGTAGCTTTGTACCTAATAGACAAATTACGGATAATATTATTATTGTCCAAGAGAAGTTGCATACGATGCGGAGAAAGCAAGGAAAAGTGGGTTACATGGCTGTTAAAATTGATTTTGAGAAAGCTTATGACCGTCTTCGTTGGGCATTCATCAAGGAGTCGCTTTTGGAACTACGGCTACCAAAATTAATTGTGGATATTGTCATGTTATGCATTACCTCGGCAAAATTAAGCATCCTTTGGAATGGAGAATCTACTGCACAGTTTGCTCCATCACGAGGAATCCGTCAAGGGGATCCTTTATCTCCGTACCTATATGTGATATGCATGGAAAGACTTGCTCATCTTATTGACAGAGAGGTGGCATTAGGAGATTGGAGACCAGTAAGAGCCAGTCGAGGAGGCCCTCCAATTACTAATCTTGCCTTTGCGGACGACTTAATCCTATTTTGTGAAGCAAGTGAGCATCAAGCATCAATAATGAAACAATGCCTCGATAAATTTTTCCAGGCCTCGGGTAGTAAATTCAGTGTTGAAAAATCGAGGATTTACTTCTCCCCTAATACCAATCTCAATGTGCGAGACAGTGTATGCAATGTATTAGGTATGGCGAGTACGGAGGACTTTGGGAAGTACTTGGGTGTGCCTACATTGAATGGTCGAGTTACAAAAGCTACATACCAATACCTTGTTGATAAGGTAGATGCCAAACTTGGCGGTTGGAAGGCTAAAACTTTGTCTATTGCTGGTCGTACTACTCTTGCACAAGCCTCCCTGAATTCTATCCCCACTTACACAATGCAATCTGCAAAAATTCCAAAAGGGGTGTGCGACACCATTGACAAAAAGGCTAGAGGGTTTATTTGGGGCAGCACGGAAGAGAAGAGAAAAATGCATTTAGTTGCCTGGGATGCTATTACTCAACCAAGGAGCGAAGGTGGGCTGGTATTCGCTCAATGCGCCAGTCGAATGCTGCATTTATGGTCAAATTGGGTTGGAGAGTTTTAACAGAGGCAAATTCTTTATGGTCGAGGATTCTGCGCCACAAATATTGCAAGGGACGTTGTGATATAGATATGTTCAAACAAAGAAGCGATGCATCGAATGTTTGGAAAGGTATCATGGAAAATATTGATGTTTTACGCAAAGGGGTGCAAGTAGATGTTGGTAATGGCAAAGGTACTAAGTTCTGGCAACATCCTAGGGCTATTACGAAGCCTTTAATTGAGATAACTACTATCCAGCCTCCGGCTGATGTCCTGGATTATAAAGTGCATGATATGTGGGACATGAATCGAGGGTGGAAGATTGAGCTCTTTTCTGATTTCTTACCAAGTGAGGTATTGAATGCTATCCAAGCATACGAGTTGCAGGAGGATGAAGATGCAATTGATAGCATTTATTGGAAGGGCACTCCATTAGGTGGATTTAGTATTAAATCTGCTATGAATATCCTCAAAAATGAAGATGAGCTCGAAGTCAACAAGAACCCACATTGGAAGGTAATTTGGAGTATATATGCGCCTCAACGAATCAGATTCTTTTTCTGGCTAGCATATAGGGAAAGGTTAATGACAAACTCTGCTAGATTTTTTAGGCACGTGACTACAGACCCTAGATGTCTTATGTGTGGCTATGTGGAAGAGGATGCAGATCTTATCCTCCGTCGCTGCCCAACAACAGTAGTTGTTTGGAGAAAGTTAGGTATTAATTTGGGAAATCCGTGGTACCAACTTTCTTTTAAGGAGTGGCTGATGCACAATTTGACTAAATCTGCTGATAAAGAAGGATGGGCGTTAGGTTTTTGCAGTTTGTTGCTGGTGGCTGTGGAGATGGAGAAACGCGAGGAGCTTTGACATGGAAGTAGACATCCCTCTAGATCAAGCTACTTTCATTATAGCACGAGTGGGAGATATACGCAGAGCCTATGCTCTGAATCAGGGGAATGCCAGCAAGAAAAGGAAACGAGAAGAGATTTATGTAAGATGGGATTTACCTCTTGTTGGATGGGTTCGTTTGAACACGGATGGAGCTGCAAAAGGAAACCCGGGGTTAGCCGGAGTAGGTGGTTTAATTCGAGGTTCGAAAGGTGAACTCTATGAAGTTTTTGCTCTAAAGTGTGGATTCTATACTTG